TCTCTGACTACGTAAGAGCTTTACGTTTAGCGGCAAAAGATTGCTCTTTCGAAACCGTTACCGCTCAAGAACATGAAGAACAAGCAATCCGTAGCACCTTGATCTCCGGTTTGCTTTCTCGTAAAATCAAAGAACGCCTGCTAGAAAATAAAAAACTTACTCTTGCCGAAGCACTTGATCAAGCTATTGCACTTGAAACAGCTGAAAAGGACGCGCTAATAATAAGTAACAATTCACCACAAATTAATGCTATATACGAACAAAAACAAGATACAGCATCAAACATAGCAGCCGCTACACAACACCGACCATCACAAACAATACTTGAACCATCCTCACGATCAGTAAGATGTTGTTTCTTTTGTGGTGGTAACGTACATCAAAGGTTTAAGTGCCCAGCTTTCCGTGCTATATGTAACCTGTGTTCTAAAAGAGGTCATTTTTCAAATGTATGTAAATCACGAAACGCTACCAACAACTCGGCTTCGTTCAAAAACACAGTCAACAGTCTTATCGATGACGGTTCATCTCATTGTAGTACAATATCTGCCGCTTCACCGTCAAGCTTGAAAGGTGCAACTATTCTAATCACGGTGAATGGTTATAAAGCTGGTCAGTTTTATAAACAGCAAAATCGCGCGCCTAATGAAGTTACGTCAAAAACCATGTACACAGTCTGTTAACTTAGCCTCGCTGAATCAAGTATCGGTTGTCGAAGGTATTTGCTTTGCCAATATCACCATGAATAAACACAACTACAGGCAAATACCACTTCTTATCGTCGATAATCTCTGCGCGGACGTGATCGTTGGACACGACCTACTAAAAGAACATTCTAAAATTGAATTTGAATTGGGAGGTCCCCATGAACCATTACGCATCTGCAACGTAATGCAGTCCTCGGTGCCACCAGCATCTATTTTTACTAATTTGTCACCTAACATCAGACCTATCGCCGTAAGGAGTCGTCGATACAGTATACAAGACGAAGAATTTATCAAGCAAGAAATATCAAAATTACTGGAAGACGGTGTAATAGAACCAAGCATTTCTCCCTGGAGAGCACAAGTCCTAGTAGCGGGAGGTGGCGCTCATCGAAAACGTCTAGTAATAGACTACTCTATGACTATTAACAAGTTTACAGAATTGGATGCATTCCCATTACCAAACATGGAAACGGTCGTCTTAAAAGTATCGAAATACAAAATCTTCAGTCAGATCGACTTAAAAAGCGCATATCATCAAATGACCATTTTAGATAAAGAGAAAGTCTACACTGCTTTTGAAGCCTGCGGACAACTTTACCAGTTTACAAGAATTCCATTCGGTGTTACCAATGGTGTAGCAGCGTTTCAAAGGACTCTAGACTTCATCATAACCAGAGAGAAACTAGAAGGTACAGTTGTATACTTAGATGACGTGACAGTATGTGGTAAAGATGAGTTAGAACATGAACGTAATCTAAAAAAGTTTATGGATGCGGCGAGAAAATATAACTTAACACTAAATGAAAGAAAATGTGTTTTTAAGAAAACAAAAATCGATCTACTTGGCTATACTGTCGAAAATAACACAATCAAACCAGACGCTGAGAGATTGAAACCCCTTTTAGAACTTCCAGCTCCCATTAAAAACTCAGAACTCAAACGCGCTTTGGGAATGTTCGCCCACTATGCAAAATGGGTTGAAAGATTTTCGGAGAAGATAAAACCTTTAACTTGTGTTTCAAGTTTTCCTTTAACACCTGATGCTCTAAAATGCTTCCAAGAGATTAAATCAGACATAAAGAAAGCAATAGATGATGATGAAACTTTCACTGTTGAAACTGACGCCTCGGATTTTGCTATAGCCGCTACGCTTACGCAAAAGGGTCGTCCAGTCGCTTTCTTCTCTCGAACGCTTTCCAATCCAGAATGTCGACATTCATCAATAGAGAAGGAAGCTTGTGCAATTGTTGAAAGTCTTAAGAAATGGAGACATTTTCTGATTGGGAAACACTTTCTTTTAATTACGGATCAAAAATCAGTAACGTACATGTTGAATCAAAATCACAATAGCAAGATTAAAAATGAGAAGATAATGCGCTGGAGGCTAGAGCTATCCTGCTACAAATATGACATTATATATAGACCAGGTTCGGAAAACACAACAGCAGACGCTCTGTCACGAGTTTGTGCGTACATGAACACCGACAAATTAAAACAGCTTCATAATGCGCTTTGCCATCCTGGAGTAAGTAGAATGTTCCATTGGATACGCTCTAAAAACCTACCGTATACAGCAAATGATGTAAAAGAGATGATTGCATTGTGTCCAACGTGCGCTGAAATTAATCCAAGATTTTTGAAAGCAAAAGGTCAACTAATTAAGGCTACGTCTCCATTCGAACACCTTAATATTGATTTTAAAGGTCCTCTCCCTTCTAATTCTTCAAATAAATATATTTTATCGATTATCGATGAATATAGCAGATTTCCCTTCGCTTACCCATGCAAAGATATGACCTCATCCACAGTCATTAAATGCCTGAAAGACCTGTTTCTCACTTTTGGCCAGCCTCTTTACATACACAGCGACAGAGGAACCTCATTCATGTCTGAAGAATTTAAAAATTTCCTAAAAAACTCAAACATTGCATCCTCAAAAACGACGCCATACAATCCACAGGGTAATGGTCAAGTGGAACGTTTGAACGGAACACTTTGGCGTACTATTCAGCTCAGTCTACGTTCAAAGAGTTTGTCAATTGGAAACTGGGAGGAAGTCCCTTCATTGTATCCGATCACTTCTTTGTACATCGATTAATGCTACGCCACATGAAAAACTATTCACGTACCCTCGAAGATCACCAAACGGGGATTCGCTACCATCATGGCTTTCAACGCCTGGACAGTAAAAAAGAATGTCCGTCACTCAAAGACTGATCCCGTAGTAGAAGAAGCTGAACTTATCGAGAGTAATCCTTACTACTCTTTAATTAGAAGAGCTAATGGAGAAATGTCAACCGTGACAAATCGTCATTTAGCGCCCTTCCCAAACAACGTTGACGAGGGTGAAGATGACGTTAGTCTTGAAACTTCAGAGACTGAGGCCTCACAAGAATTACAAACTTCTGATGGATCTTCGACGGAACAAGAGGTTAGAAGGTCTACTCGAATTAGAAGGCCACCATCGCGGTTTCAAAACTTTGTTGTAGAAAGTGGAATTGAAAATTCTACAGGGGCAGAAAATTCTGCAGAAGAAGAAAATTCTACAGGGGAAAATGATATGATATTTTATCTAGTTATCATTTGATAATCATTTATCGTTATTGTCAAAGTTAATTGAATTGTCTAGTTGATTTCTTTAAGCTAATAAAAGCCATATTTCCAGTGGTTACAAATATTATATCAACTTGTTTCTGCATTATTTAACTCGCATGAGGACAAGTACGTTTCTTTTTTTTTTAATTGCATTGCCAGCTGGACTACCGGTCCCACACAATTACGCTCGTTAAAAATGACTTACTCTTGAGTCTTTCTATTTAAGCAATTCGTATTCCAAACAACACTCGAAAATTACGCCGCCAGAACTGATAAAACACGTGCAGCGGTTATCTCGCACGTGACACTGTTTGTCGAAATATCAATTAATTCTTGTCCGATAACAACTTTTTATCAACACCTGACCAGGTGAAACTTTAAACTCACGTAAAAAATTGCGATTAAATGTTCCCTTATTTCCCTATTTGAAATTAAACAATTCCCACGTATAAAATAACTTGAAATATGTTACTGTTTTAAATATATCATACAAACTAAATACAACAAATAGAGTGAAATGAAATAAACATTTACTGACTAAATTTACAATAAGAAACGAACATCATCAAATTTTTCCAATTCTGTGTCTATTTGAAATTAAAAAATTCCCACGTATGAAATAATTTTAAATATGTTACATACAGGCTGTCCTGAGTGCTGTTTCCTATATTCAGACCGTAATTACGTTAACAACACGTATTTTTACACTATTCGCTTTCATTTTCAGCATTGTTTCAACCTAAAGAAGCGACACCCCCATGAAGTTTCCACAACAATACCTATATTTGTAATAATTACATTCTTCAAGCATAAATATTCACACGTGCACTAAAATATAGCAGAAAATAGGTATAGTAACCATTCTAGTGATTAGAAGAGAAGATATTATAAGGTATGTTGGTTTGGTTTGCTGAATAGTTGTACTACGAACATTTTCTGCAAATGGCTTGAAGGCAAAGAGTGACTAGTCTATTACCCACAACATGCCCAAGAATACCTACCATCATTTAGAGTAGGCGCCAGAGAGTTGTGATAGTTTAATGATCGTCACAAGTGGTGAAATAAGTACGGAAGATACCTACAGCAAAGGATAACTAAGACAGAATTATGTAGGTACCAGGTGTTCCAAAATGAATATCGGGGTTTCTTCAAGCAGGGGTCCTCAAACGCTCGATCGCGATCAACCGGTCGATCACGAGTGCTTGTATGAAATTTTGCAACGTCCATATAAACTTATTTTTGCGCGACGATATGCCCTACCTACGTAGACAACAAACCTGAATCGCACATACTTGGAGCATCTCAGAGTCGATCGATCGGAATCTAACAACATTTAGGTAGATCGTCAGCAGTTCAAGTTTGAGCACCCCTGCTTCAAGGATTCGCAATATTTTTCTTTTTTGAAATATAAATTATATCAAACAAAAGAGCAATTCGAACAGCAGGCATGCATAACTATTGTTTCCTATATCTTCCGTTAGAGAGTGCTATTGGACACCAGATGACAATGCTATTTTCGCATGACCTCCACGTTACTCAATCTGACGCCACAAGGCGCATTGAACACTTATTATTATTATTATTATTCATTTATTTAAAGCTTCACTTTTTTGGTATAAATAATTCGGTTTATAGCGATTTGACAACGGAAAGGCACTACATTTATGGCAAGAACTGTTGCCAATGTGACATAGGTTGGTAAAGTGCGAGCCTTACGCTTTGGGGATGTATATCCTCCGTCCTCCATGTCACATGGGCTTTATATATCTTAAACCCATTTTTTTTGAAGAAATACGAGTATAATTTTTTCAATTTCACCAACGGAAATATTAGTTTGATTGTAGAAAAATTCGCTCCTGGAATATTTCCCCCAAAAAAGAACCTGTTCTTACCCTGGCAGATTCAGCGCGGGAAATTGCCTCTAGGAAATTCGTATTTTGATTCGTTACCAAGGAAAATTTGGCGGCTATTTAGATAACAACACGTCGTGCAAATCTGATGAAAAAATCGACAATCTATGGGGCCTTAGCCGGCTACACACTTTTCAGTGCGAACTGACAGGCCTGCCGGGCCGTGTGTAGCCGACTTAGGTTCGAATTTTATGGAGGTTGGATTTTCTTAGGGCGAATATTTTGAGGACTTCGGATTTTAATTTAAGTTCTAGAGGCTCGTTTTTGATTGACCTTGTCTTAGCCTTACCACAAAACGTGTAAAGCTGAGACTTTTTCGGTAATTGTACATTTGTCATTTATGTTTCAATGACTAATTGCGAAAATATCAATTATCATACGGACGAAATTCATAGGGTAAATATTAGCTGTATTTTTCATTAAAAAGGACTTAAATTATCTTACTCCATAGAAAAATGTAATTGTTAGTATAATTCATTCTTCGTCTTAATTAGAATTCAGGCAACCGCACGAAAAAGATTTGAAGTTAACTTTTTAATAAGGTTTGATATTGTATGAATAATGTTCGAGGAAAACTTTTACGAAGTCCGAATGAGATCTTAATATATAAGGGGTTTGGATAAAATTTTTAATGATGACAAATTACGTTTTTATATTACATAGAGCGTATCGAATCGACGTATGTAAATTTCAACTTTATACATTCGATTTTCGAAATTAACATTTTATCTACACTTCATTGCGTTAAGCCAAAAATGAAAGCATTTTAATGGATCCATAAAAACGTCAAAAAGGAATGGCGACATTAAAATAATGTGCAGGACTGGGGCTGAAAGTCCAACTACAAATTATACCCATTCATGTCCCGAATTTTCAGATAATTTGCTCTTGAAATGAGTAGCTCATAATTTATCCTGCTTATCTTCAATCACCATAACGGGCTAATAAATATCGCGGTTAATTAAAAGATTGTAATATTCTCCACCGTTTCTAAGCCACAAAATTGCAAAAGTTCAATTTCAAGCAGCCAAATAGAGATATCAGATGATATAATTTTGGCTGGCAAACCGCTCTACGTAATTAATGTTAAATTAATTGCTGATACCTATTCGCATTTTATAGGAACGAAAACAACAAGATGTGGAGATGTTGGCAAGGTGTCATGTGGGTAAGTGGCTGGAAAAAGACTCTCGCTTACGGTCCGTTAGGTGCGATCCCACTTATTTGGCCCAACAAACTATGGTTGGCGTATGCGGCGGGCGGACAGCTTATTGCCTTGGCCGTTTTCCATTTTCTCCTTTCGTTTAAGGGCAGAAGACGCCGTAAACGTAAAGATCGACTTTTAAACGGCGACATCGATAGCTTTGAAAGGTAAACAGTAAACTGTAATATTTTCAAGAAGAACAAATATCAATATTGCCTTAGATTTCGCTTGTAGCGCTCTCTTGATACATCCGTTTCTGTTTTCAGCAGTCGGTTTGAGGAAGTAACTGAAGTATTAGATGACGGTCTACCGGAACCAATTCCGGGCAGCAGCCATTCACTTTCGGATAGTCTGGCGGAACCGGATACTATTCTTGAAATATGACCGGAAATGCATCTAACGCCAGACATATTTAAACATTTTGTGGACTCGGGCCACTGGAGTCCAAACGATAGTGATGACAGTGCGGTCTAAACAACACAAACGTACCTACCTAAAAAGGGAAAGGACTTTATGAAAATATATGTATTTGTTTTTTATATAATAAATCTACTAACTTTAATAATTATCACCCTAAAGAGATTTATGCAATTTTAAAATAAGTTTATATTTAATGAATTTGTTACTTTTCGAATTTATAAGTAAAGAGTTTAAACTTTTCTTATATTTCTTAGGCGGCAGGACACGAATTGTTAAAGTATTTTCACGGAAAATTGAGCGGTTTAAATGGAATCAGTCGCTGTCATGAAACGAGAATTTTCTAAATGAGATTAACTTATTCAGACACATTTCAACAAAAACGTCACAACGCAAAATATCGTATTTCGTTTCATATTGCTACATTCATATTGGTGGTTCAATATATCTTGTGCTTTTTAGTACCTATACTACATCGTAATTTGTTTTCAGATCACGTCATTCCCTCTAGCGTATATTCTTTACATTCTATTCTATAATTTCGGATTCATAAACAGTGCAGGTGCAACTGAAATTGCAATAAGTGGTTGACCAGCCCTTACTCGTCTTAAATAAAATTAACTGCGAAATTGCAAAATTAAATCTGCCAAGAAATTCGTTGACCCACCGCGAGCTCTAACATGAATTTAACGATAATTCGAATAAAATGTTTCATTTTCCCTTCTTGCCTGAAAATCAAATTTGAAACTTTATTTTCTAGATTGTTTGCTTGCAGATAATAAATACGAAATTGCCATACAACCCTGCATACAACAAATGAATATATTGACGAGAGAAAATAGATCCACTTTCACATTTTTCATATTTACAAGTTTGTTACGTTTACTACGAATATTTAAAATCACCCCTACCTCGCTACAACGCTTTTTTCTAATTCACAACGGAAATCTTATTGAGAAACTAAAATCACCTAAAACTAACTATAAATAAAACTTAACCAATATAATTAGCGGCATAAAGAGTACAATTTAATTAAGAGAAAAATAAATTAATTTACAAATTATTGTAAATCAATCACACCAGCAGACGAAGGTAGCGCCACTGGCGAGAAATCTAAAAGCAGAATTACGCCACACGACAAAACCAGCAATTTCTCTATCGAGAAGACGAGAACACAAAGCAACAAAGCATGAACTAATTGACGTTAACTATTTTTTTTTTCTCTAAAAAAGAAACACAAAGCAACAAAGCATGAACTAATTGACGTTTAACTATTTTTTTTACTTTTTTTTGTAATGACTAATTATATTTACAATCTGCTCTAATAAGCAATAAGTAAATCAGGTGGATTACAAAGACAGAACATGTTGGATGCCGTCCCAGTGGAAGGCTTCCCCAAAAGAATTACTTATTATCTATATACCTACAGGTAATATTCAACATTCAAGACAGTCTAGTATCGGTCTGGAAGGTCCAGGGGGCTGATTCTCCTCAGTCTGTTGATTGTATTGCTGTTATCTAGCAAATTCACAGCAAGATGGTTTGTATGATTTTCTAACCTCGAAAGATACTTTGCACTCACGCACTTCACTTCTTTCACTAATTTCACTCGAAGATCCCTGTGTATAACTTCGTTTTTAACGTACCATGGAGCATCTACTATTGTCCTCAGGGTTTTAGACTGGAATCTCTGCAAAATCTCCAGATTGGAGTTACTTGTGGTTCCCCATAGTTGCAGCCCGTAGGTCCAGATAGGTTTGAGTATACTTTTGTAGAGTAATACCTTGTTGTCTAAAGTTAACTTGGATTTTCGTCCTAATAGCCAGTTTAATTTCGTGAACTTTAGGCCCAGTTGTTTTCGTTTACTAAAGATATGTTTTTTTCCAAGTTAGTGTCCGATCAATGTGCATACCGAGATATCTGACTTCGTTAGCTTGCGGTAGTGGTATATTATTGAGGATTACTAGCGGACACGTTTCCCTTCTTAGTGTGAATGTGACGTGTGTGGACTTGATTCCATTTGCTTTCATGCGCCATAGCCGGAGCCAGTCTTGAACTTGACTGAGAGAGGTTTGTAGGTTTCTTGATGCAATAAGAGGGTTTTCATGAGTTGCAAGAATAGCAGTATCGTCTGCAAATGTAGCGGTGGTCGTATGATCGTTGGTAGGTATATCCGCCGTGTATAGTAGGTAGAACACGGGCCCTAATACGCTTCCCTGTGGTACGCCGGAGTTAATGGGGTGTAATTTTGTTAGTTCGTCCTGAAATTTCACCTGGAAGTGTCTGCTGCTCAGATAGGATTTGAAAAGTTGGAAATAGGTGTGGGGCAAGTTTTTCTTAATTTTAGCCAGTAGTCCTTCATGCCAGACCTTATCAAAGGCCTGGGCTATGTCTAGAAAGGCGGCAGAACAGTACTTCTTTTCTTCAAAGGCCTGGTTGATTACGCTTACCACCCTGTGAACCTGTTCAATTGTAGCGTGTTCTTCCCTAAAGCCGAATTGATGTTCTGGTATGAGATCATGTTGGTTGAGAATTGGTTTGATTCTTTTTAGTAAGAGTTTTTCAAAGACTTTAGATGCTATTGGTAATAAGCTGATCGGGCGATAAGATGTCGTTTCTTCGGGAGGTTTTCCTGGCTTAAGTATGAGTATTATTTGGGCCACCTTCCATTGGGCTGGGAAATGGCTCAATCTTAAGATGGCATTAAATATGGCCGTTATTAGTTTGTATCCTTTCTTTGGTAATTGTTTTAAAACTTCACCTGTAATTAGGTCATAGCCTGGTGCTTTCTTAGGATTTAGTTCGGACTTAATTACCGACATCACTTCTGCTATCGTGATTTTTTCTATTGGTAAACTTAGTTGGTCTGGTGTCTCCAAATATAGTTGTGTTTCCTCTTCTTCTTCTGGGGTTAGTTCAGAAGGAAAGGGTTGAAAAACATTTGTTAGGTGTGCTGCAAATGCATTAGCCTTTTCTTGTTCGCTTCTGGCCCAGGTTCTATCAGATTTACGGATTGGAGAGATTGCTTGCTGTGGGTGTTTTAGTTTTCTCGTGGCTTTCCATAATGAGTAATCTGTTGCTTCAGTGGCAGAGAGGGTTGATAGATGATATTGTATAGCTTGATTTTTATGGTTTTGAAGCATTGCTTTCAAGTTTTGTGTTGCGTTGTTGAGCCTATTTTTATCATTCGGGGATCTAGTGTTCTGCCAAACTCTGCGAAGCCTTCTTTTCTCCGCTATTGCTCGTTTTACTACCACTGGTAGAAAATTATGCGCTTCGTTCTCTTTCGATAATGGGGTTGAATCCCATGCCGCACTTTGTATAGTACGATTTAGGTACTCTACTGCATCATCAACCTCATCGGTGGTCTTGAGGGGTAAGTCTAGATCTATTTTTACGTTAACTATTTCTCTGAATAAGTTCCAGTCGGTTTTCTTGTTACTGAGTCTAGTTGGTCTAGGCCTGGTATGTATTTGCGCACTTAACGTAATTATAATTGGGGAGTGATCTGATGTCATATCAAGACATGTTTCAATTCGTAAATAATTTTTTCTATTTCGGTGGCACAATGATGATTTTGTACAACTGTTTTCGGCCGAAAACAGTTGTACAAAGACAGTGATTATAGTCGTTTTTTTTTGGTAACTCACCTCTTAAGTTGGCAGTTACTAGTTAGTACAAGTAAGTACTTCGTTGGGTACTTCCATGTTTGAACTTCAAAATGTCAGTCTTACTACGCTGCCAACCTAAAACTTAACGGCATAAAAATTGTTCCCAACATAAAACATGTTAGTTCTAATGTTCCCTATAGTTTCTGATAATGATTTTTTTAATTAAATTAAAGCACCGAAATAGAAAAAATAGTATGAAAAACGCGTGTTACAATGCTTTATTGTAATACTCCTATCTTGCGGACACTCGTGGCTACGCTTCGCGTCGCCACTCGTGCCACAAGATAGTCGTATTACAATAGGTCGCATTGTAACACTTGTCTTTCAATATACTATTGTGCTATGTTTTTTGTAACACAAAAGTCGAGCAGGTCTGGAATTTTATTCCTGTCCGTAGGCCAGTATGTGGGTTGTCTGGTACTGAGATAGTTGAGATTATTGGTGTGAAGCGATCTTAACAATTCCCTGCCCTTGGTGGTGGTTACTCTAGCACCCCATTCCTGGTGCTTAGCGTTATAATCGCCACCGGCAATGAAGCGTGTTCCAAGTGTACTAAAGAATTGAGTGTAATGTTCTGTTTTTATATTGTGCCTAGGAGGGCTATACAGAGCGGAGATTGTAATTGGTCCTGTCCAGTCTTGAATGACCACGCTGGTAGCTTGAATGTGCTCATGAATATACTTGTCTGTTTGATAATGCTTGATGGAACTTTTTATAATTATTGCTGATCCTCCGTGTGCAGCTCCGCTAGGATGTTGTGTGTCGTACACGATGTAATTAGGTATTGTAAAGTAGCTTCTTTCTGTAAAATGGGTTTCAGATATTAGAACTATATCCAAATCGTGATTAGTAATAAACGCCCGTAATTCTAGGGTGTGATTTGACAAGCCATTTGCATTCGATTCGGCAATTTTGAGTGTTTGTGCCATTAACTCAGTTTGGAAACGATGGCTGCGAGGAGGTTTAACATTGTTTTTATATTCTCGGCTAGTTCTATCATCATTTTTTCCAGTTTTTCTATGTGGGACCTTTGTGGTATATTGGAATGGTAAGAAGATTGTTGTCCGTTTGGCACGTCTTGAGCAAGTGTTCCTTCATTTATGTTTGGCATTTGTGTGGGGATGAAAGTTGGTTGAGTTACAGGCCCTCTAGGGCGTGGCGATGGAAATTTTCTCTGCTTCAACTCCTGATAGACTTGACATCCTTTGTAGTTTGCAGGGTGTGAACCGTTGCATAGGACACACTTGGGCTGGGTTTCCTTTGTTTTTGTACACATGTTCGTATGGTGGTTTGCGCCGCATTTCACACACCTAGGTTGATGAGTGCAGAATCTTTTAGTGTGACCATACCTCTGACAAGTTGCGCATTGTGGAATTTCCTTTTTCTGGTGGGGTGGTTCTATTATTATTTTTGTATGTAGTAAATATTTGATGTTATATATCATTTTGTTAGTTTCGCAGGGAGCTAGGTCAAGAAAGAACATTGAGAGTGGCTCTTTGGTTTTTCTGTGCTTGACATTATATATGTTCAAGACTTTATGTCCTTGGC